TAGCAGAAGACAAGAAATAGCTAAGATCGGAGCAGAACTCAAGGAGATAGAGACACAAAAAACCTTCAAAACATCAATAAATCCAGGAGCTGGTTTTTTGGAAAGATCAACAAAATAGACAGACCACTAGCCAGATTAATAAAAAAGAAAAGAGAGAATAACCAAATTGATGCAATAAAAAACGATAAAGGGGATATCACCACAGATTCCACAGAAATTCAAACCATCATCAGAGATTATTACAAACAACTCAATGCACATAAACTAGTAAACCTGGAAGAAATGGATAAATTCCTGGACACTTGCCTCCTCCCAAGCCTAAACCAGGAAGAAGCTGAAACCCTGAACAGACCCATAACAAGGTCTGAAGTTGAGGCAGCAATTAAGAGCTTACCACCCAAAAAAAGCCCAGGTCCAGACGAGTTCACAGCCGAATTCTACCAGACATACAAAGAGGAGCTGGTACCATTCCTTCTGAAACTACTCCAAAGAATACAAAAAGAGGGAATTCTTCCCAAATCATTTTATGAGACCAACATCATCCTGATTCCAAAACCTGGCAGAGACTCAACAAGAAAAGAAAACTTCAGGCCAATATCCATGATGAACATAGATGCAAAAATCTTCAATAAAATACTGACAAGCTGATTGCAACAGCACATCAAAAAGCTTATCCACCATGATCAAGTAGGCTTCATCCCGGGGATGCAAAGCTGGTTCAACATATGCAAGTCTATAAATGTAATTCACCACATAAACAGAACCAAAGACAAAAACCACATGATTATCTCAATTGATGCAGAGAAGGCCTTTGACAAAATTCCACAGCCCTTTATGCTAAAAATGCTCAATAAGCTAGGTATTTACGGAACGTATCTCAAAATAATAAAAGCAATTTACGACAAACCAACAGCCAATATCATACTGAATGGGCAAAAACTGGAAGCATTCCCCTTGAAATGTGGCACCAGACAAGGATGCCCTCTCTCACCACTCCTATTCAATATAGTACTAGAAGTTCTAGCCAGAGCAATCAGGCAAGAGAAAGAAATAAAGGGTATTCAAATAGGAAAGGAGGAAGTCAAATTGTCTCTATTTGCAGACGACATGATTGTATATCTAGAAGACCCCATCGTCTCAGCCCCAAATCTCCTGAAACTGATAAGCAAGTTCAGCAATGTCTCAGGATACAAAATCAATGTGCAAAAATCACATGCATTCCTATACCCCAATAACAGACTTAAAGAGAGCCAAATCAAGAACAAGCTTCCATTCACAATTGCCACAAAGAGAATAAAATACCTAGGAATACAACTAACAAGGAATGTAAAGGACCTCTTCAAGGAGAACTACAAGCCACTGCTCAACGAAATAAGAGAGGACACAAACGGATGGAGAAACATTCCATGTTCATGGTTAGGAAGAATCAATATCATGAAAATGGCCATACTGCCCAAAGTAATTTACAGATTCAATGCTATCCCCATCAAGCTACCAATGACCTTCTTCACAGAACTGGAAAAAAAACACCTTAAGCTTCATATGGAACCAAAAGAAAGCCCGCATAGCCAAGTCAATTCTAAGCAAAAAGAACAAAGCGGGAGGTATCACACTACTGGACTTCAAACTATACTACAAGGCTACAGTAATCAAAACAGCATGGTACTGGTACCAAAACACAGATATAGACCAATGGAACAGAACAGAGGTCTCGGACACAACGCAACATATCTACAACCATCTGATCTTTGACAAACCAGACAATAACAAGCAATGGGGAAAGGATTCCCTGTTTAATAAATGGTGTTGGCAAAACTGGCTAGCCATGGGAAGAAAGCAGAAACTGGACCCCTTCCTGACACCTTACACTAAAATTAACTCCAGATGGATTAAAGACTTAAACATAAGACCTAACACCATAAAAACCCTAGAAGAAAATCTAGGCAAAACCATTCAGGACATAGGTGTAGGCAAGGACTTCATGACCAAAACACCAAAAGCATTGACAACAAAAGCCAAAATAGACAAATGGAACCTAATCAAATTCCACAGCTTCTGCACAGCAAAAGAAACAGTCATTAGAGCGAATCGGCAACCAACAGAATGGGAAAAAATTTTTGCAGTTTACTCATCTGACAAAGGGCTGATATCCAGAATTTACAAAGAACTAAAACAGATTTACAAGAAAAAAACTAACAAGCCCATTCAAAAATGGGCAAAGGATATGAACAGATACTTTACAAAAGAAGACATACATGAGGCCAACAAACATATGAAAAAATGCTCATCATCACTGGTCATCAGAGAAATGCAAATCAAAGCAACATTGAGATACCATCTCACGCCAGTTAGAATGGTGATCATTAAAAAATCTGGAGACAACAGATGCTGGAGAGGATGTGGAGAAATAGGAACACTTTTACACTGTTGGTGGGAGTGTAAATTAGTTCAACCATCGTGGAAGACAGTGTGGCGATTCCTCAAGGACCTAGAAATAGAAATTCCATTTGACCCAGCAATCCCATTACTGGGTATATATCCAAAGGATTACAAATCGTTCTACTATAAGGACACGTGCCCACGAATGTTCATTGCAGCACCGTTTACAATAGCAAAGACCTGGAACCAACCCAAATGCCCATTGATGACAGATTGGACAGGGAAAATGTGGCACATATACACCATGGAATATTATGCAGCCATCAAAAACGATGAGTTTGGGTCCTTTGTAGGGACATGGATGAACCTGGAAACCATCATTCTCAGCAAACTGACAGAAGAGCAGAAGATCAAACACCACATGTTCTCACTCATAGGTGGGTGTTGAACAATGAGAACACATGGACACAGGGAGGAGAGCACTACACACTGGGGTCAGTTGGGGGGAAATAGGGGAGGGACGGTGGGGGTGGGGAGCTGGGGAGAGATAGCAAGGGGAGAGATGCCAGATGTAGGTGATGGGGAGGAAGGCAGCAAATCACACTGCCACGTGTGTACCTTTGCAACTATCTTGCATGCTCTTCACATGTACCCCAAAACCTAAAATGCAATATAATAAATAAATGGGAAAAAAAAACACTTAATAAAACACTAAAACTCCCTCAGCTTGTAAGATAACAAAACGGAATAAAGTAGAACCGATGTAACTGACTGTAGTTTGCACAGAACAAGCCTGCTGATTTCACAGCTTAAATTTCCACCACCTATTTCATACCAGCTCCTCCCAAATTTACATATGGGATTCATAAAGAGACATAAAGAGATAACTGTGCATGCCCGAGGATTTTCCGGACTTCCCTTTCCTTCCACCAATCACCTACTAATCCTAGAATCCACCCCTAAACCTTCCCTAATAAAATTAATGCCTTCAAGCCGACTTAGGAAAACAAATTTGAGCTAGTCTGCTGTCCCCTTGTGAGCTAACTTACAATGAAAAGCTTTTCTTTTCTCAAAAACCTGGCATCGAGTATTGGCTTCTAGCACATTGGCCAGTGAGCCCCTTTTGCTTGATAACACTGTAACCGCACAACAGTTTCTTCCTGCCTGCTGTGCAAATAAAGACCACAGCCTTGCAGTAAAGAAAATTTCATTGATGTGAGATCAGCTCTGCTACACTGGAGAATGGCTATTACTCAAATCAATCTCATCTCTGGCTCATAGGTTAGGGGTTTTTCAAAGGCAGGTTGGAAAAAGGGGTGGGGGTGGCCATGCAATGGGTGCTGCTGATTGATTGGGGAGGAGATGAAATCATAGGGGTCAAAGCTGTCTTCTTGAGCTGAGTTGCTTCTGGGTGGGGCCACAGGAGCAGGGTTGACAAATCCAGGGGGAGCCATGGGTATCAGACATGGAAAGAACCTGAAAAGTTATCTCAAAGGGCCAATTTTACACACTAAAATAGTGACGTTATTCGCAGGAATGACTGGCAATAATTTATGTCTATACCTTAGCAGAATTCAGGTTCCTCTCCTCCCGGCCCTTTGGTGGCCTTTCATTAACTTAACCACATTAATATTTTTATTTTTTGTTTTTTGAGACAGCATCTTGTTCTGTTACCCAAGAGTGCAATGGTGCAATCTTGGCTCACTGAACCCTTGCCTCCTGGGTTCAAGCAATTCTCCTGTCTCAGCCTCCTGAGTAGCTGGGACTACAGTCACCTGCCACCATGCCCAGCTAATTTTTGTATTTTTAGTAGAGATGGGGTTTCACAATTTTAGTCATGCCGGTCTTGAACTCCTGACCTCAGGTGATCCACTCACCTTGGCCACCCAAAGTGCTGGGATTACAGGCATGAGCCACTGCGCCCAGCCTACCACATTGATTGAGTTTTGGGGAAAGACTATTATTAAATAGGCCTTGATTATTTACCAATAAACTATGGGTTATTTAAACTGTAACCTAACTCAGTGGTCCCCAAACTTTTTGGCACCAGGGACTGGTTTCATAGAAGACATTTTTTCCATGGACCAGAAGGTGGAAGGGATAGTTGCAGGATGGTTCAAGTGCATTATATTTGTTGCATGCTTTATTTCTGTTATTATTATGTTGTAATACATAATGAAATAATTACACAGCTCACCATAATATGGAATCAGTGGGATCCTTAGCTTGTTTTCCTGCAACTAGATGGTCTCATCTAGGGGTGATGGGAGACAGTGACAGATCATCAGGCATTAGACTCTCATAAGGAGTGTGCAGCCTAGATCCCTTCCCTGCACAGTTCGTGATAGGGTTCACACGTCTATGAGAATCTAAAACCACAGCTGATCTGATGGGAGATGGAGCTCAGGCGGTAATAGGGAGTGGCTCTAAACACAGGTGAAGTTTTGCTTTCTCACCCATCTCTCACCTCCTGCTGTGCAACCTGGTTCCTAACAGGCCAGGCACTGGTGTGTGGTCCAGGGGTTGGGGACCCTTGACCTAAATGTCTTCCAAAGTTAGCTCAGTCTAAGGTCAGGAATAATTAAGGCAGCTTGAAAGCTAAAGGTAAGGGAGGAGTGAGTTAGATCAGATCTCTTTCACTGTCATAATTTTTTCATTGACACAATCTTTACAAAGGTGGTTTCTACAATGGGTATTAAACAAGTTGCAGTCTCTGTATGTTGGTTCTCTCCTTTCCAAGTGCAGGCTCAAACCAGAATCCACTGAATGCCCAAGCTTGCCAATTAGAAAACTTCAGCAGGTACAACCAGGTCAGCTTCCCTAGCACCTAACCCACCCCAGTGCCAAATACTAGACCTCCCAATCCTCTCCTGGTTAGACCCCTACTAAGTCCCACTGGTTTCCAGGATACAAGTGCAACTTTCTTGTAGCTATGATAAGAGAGACATTTTCTGGAAACTTCGGAGAAAGAGTGGAATTACATGTTCTCATGTTAATCATTATCAGTTTTGCTGAATTAGTTTTATCATGGAAAGACTATTATAATAGCTTTGTTCATGTACATAAAGTCAGAAGAGCTAGTACTTTTGAAAGGCTCTTGTACCAAATATTTATTGCTATTCTTTTCTGAAATCAGTAACTTTCCGAAAAGAATGGAACCACTGTGGCTTTCATTTTGGGTTTCGGAATGTGTGAGAGAAAAAGGAGATCCTGATAAAAATCCTAAACTCATGAAAATAAGCTATAATAAAGAAACAAAAACAGAATTTTAGAATGAATGGTTAATTATGACTTTTCATATGTAAAATTCTATGAGACAGAGTGCATAATGAAAACAATTGTGCGTGTTTAGTATTGTATTGCTGAATGATAATCTGCATTGATGGTGTCCTCACATTAACCAATTCAAGCAAACTTAATAATGAAAAGCTTGAAGAGGAAAATAGACTCTGGCTCAGTGGAATAATGATTAATTCACAACTGCAATTAACACCTCAGAAGGTCTCAATCGAGAAACTAGCTGGATGTGCAGCACTGATGTAATCAGACTGTTTACTGTCTAATTTGAACTGCATCAATGATATTGAGGGCAGGGTACAGACTTTATCTCCATTTTTAAAGAAATAGAAGACTTAGGTTTTCTGAACTAAGGTTTTTGCAATGATTCGTCTTTATAACGTATTTTAAAAGAAATTCTTATCTAAAAGTATGTAAGAATATGTAGTCCTTCAAACACACAAACACACATCATCTCTTTTCCAATTTCTTCAGGAAACTGACAAAAGAAACATGAAGATCATAAATTATAGTGTTGACTTCTGGCTCTCCCTCTTATCTTCTGCACAACTGAAGAACAATTCATGTAAATAACTTCGATGTCTGAATTAAAATTTGATTTTTAATTTGTGTTCAAAAGTCAAAAATGTGCAGGTGTTACTGAAACCACTGGTGTGTGACCAAAAGGTTTTCCCACACTAAGCACAAAGAAAGGACTGTTCTTTGGTTGGTGATTACAACAGCTATTTATAGAGCCTGCCTCTGCAGTTTTGCTTCTGGATATCAATAAGGAGACCAGCTCTCAGTCTTATTGCCTTTTACACCCTCAGTCACATTGCCTTTCACACATTGGATAAGCATCTGTCCCCAGGACAGGCCACAAAATCTCTACCTGAGCTATTCAGGCATTCACAGCAACCAAATCAGATTGCTACAAGGCAAGGTAATCAGTTGCTTAGCAGCTGGTTGCCGCAGTGGCAAACTCCACCAAATGATCAAGTTTTGGTTGATTTGGGTGAATGGCACTGGCAGAAGCGTCTTTGTTCTGGGAGGGGCAGTATGGGATGGTGGAATAGGAGTTACCAAACTGGATTCAATTTTTACTGAATCTGGATGGCTTTGAACCGTTTCTCGGCCTCTTTGAGTTTGAGTTTCCTTATCTGCAAAATGGAAAGACAGTAAAACCGACTTTGTAGATTGTTGCAATCATTTGGGATCACCTATGTAAAATACCATCATAGAGCCTGGCACACAGAGGCACTCGGAAAAAGGTAGCTATTTTCTAAAACTCCCTCCTCTTCCAATCTGTCATCTCACTGCTGTCAAATGATACCTTTCTCAAATGCTACTTCTATTTCGTTCTCTTCCATTGACAGTCCTACCTATCCTAATATACATGTCTAGTCCATTCATCATCATGCAAATTATTCAGGCTCCTCCATGCCTAGGCTTTTTACCTGGCCTGGAAAGTCCTCTTTTGCCTTCATCCATCCAACTCTGTCTCATGTTTATATGTTTTGTTTGTTTTCTGTTTTTTTATTTGAGATGGAGTCTCACTCTGTTGCCTGGACTGAAGTGCAGTGGTGCGATCTCAGCTCGCTGCAACCTCTGCCTCCCAGATTCAAGTGATTCTCCTGCCTCAACCTCCCTAGTAGCTGGGATTACAGGCACCTGCCACTACACTCAGCTAATTTTTTGTATTTTTAATAGAGACAGGGTTTCACCTTGTTGGCCAGGTTGGTCTCAAGCTCCTGACCTCGTGATCTGCCTGCCTCGGACTCCCAAAGTGCTGAGATTACAAGTGTGAGCCACTATGCTTGGCCTGTTTATATGTTGTTGTTGTTGTTTAACTCAGCCCAAGTCCTACTTCTTAAAGGGGAAGCCTTGTTCATTGACCTCCCTCTCCATTAGGTAATGCTACCTGGAATCCACACCTCACAGTTGATTATACCAAATTTCTTACGTGCTAATATTCTCACCAACAGATGGTAAATTCCCTGTTACAGTGGTAGTATCACAAACTATCTGTATCTACCACAGTGCTCAGTTTAATGCTGACTGTATAATAGACACTCATATTTTTATTTGCAGACTCATTCACACAGCATTATCACCTTCACATTGATTTTACTTGACAAGTAAGTGCCTGGAATATTCACACTTTCACTGGAGCCAGAACACAGCTTTGAATGAAATTAGAAGTCAAATCAGTTTTCAAATCTTTCTTAATAATTCAATGTAGAAGCAAAGAAACAACGTTTCATTTTTTATTTTTTGAGACAGGGTCTTGCTCTGTCACACAGGCTGGAGTGCAGTGGTGTGATCACAACTCACTGCAGCCTCAACCTCCTGTGGTCAAGCAATTCCTCCCACCTCAGCCTCCTGAGCAGCTGGGACCACAGAGGTGTACCACCATGCCTGGCTAATTTTTAAATTTTATATAGTGACAGGTCTCCCTGTGTTGCTGAGGCTGGTCTTTAACTTCCAGGCACAAGCAATCCTCCTGCCTTGGCCTTCCAAAGTGCTGCGATTACAGGCATGAGCCACCATACTGGGCCAGAAACACGATTTCAAAGCTGTAAGTATCCTGCAGAGTCATCTAAACCTGGTCCACTTTATTTTATCATTGAGAAAACAGAGAATCAAGGAGATTAAATGATTTGCCAATCACAGCCACGTTCATGTGAGATCCAAAAGGGAAACTTGGAACCCAGCACAGTGGCTCATATCTGTAATGCTAAATACCTGGGAGACTGAGGCAGGAGGATCACTGGAGCCCAGTAGCTCAAGGCCAGCCTGGGCAACATAGCAAGATCCCATCTCTTTTAAAAAGTTGTTATTATTATTAAGATATTTTCAGCTTTTCTGAGTGATTTGTTGTTTTCTTTGAGATAGAGTTTCTCTCTTGTTGCCCAGGTTGGAGTGCAATGGCGCCATCTCAGCTCACCACAACCTCCGCCTCCCAGATTCAAGCAATTCTACTGCCTCAGCTTCTTGAGTAACTGGGAGTACAGGCATGTGCCACCACATCCAGCTAATTTTGTATTTTTTAGTATAGAGACGGGGTTTCTCTGTGTTGGTCAGGCTGGTCGCAAACTCCCAACCTCAGGTGATCCGCCTGCCTCAGCCTCCCAAAGTTCTAGGATTTCAGGCTTGAGCCACTGCACCCGGCTTCTGAGTAATTTTTAAATGTCACAGAAAGACCACGCTTAAATGCTGATGGCTTCACAGGCTAGCATCTACAGGAGGGAATTTAGAAAACTGGCAGATGGATACTTTGCTGAGAAAGGATTTTGTAAAATAAATGTAGTTACTCCTAATTATGCAGCAACTGCAGTTTCTTTCAACTCCTAATAAATATCTAATTTGTAGGGCCAAAAAGTATTCTGGGAACTTGCTTGCTCCATTTATTTCTCTCCAACTGGAGCACCCTGAAACCATCTAAGGCCTAAAATAAACAAACAGAAAAACAACTAAAAATTGGTGGGAATTCAGAGCTTCTTGCCCGGAATAGACTTTTCTTATCCTAAGAAAGAAAAAATTAAGTAAATAGATTAACTTTTAGAAATGTCTGACAGTGAAGTGGTAGAGTTCCCTGACCACCCTTGAAGGATGTGCAACAGGGGTGTGGCTTGTCTCTTCAGCCCCACAACCGGGAGGGGGAGCATGAAGGCAGGAAGGTGTAGGAGATGGGGTGAGTGCCCCTGGTCTCTGACCCCATGACAGCATCCAGGGGTGGGAGCCTTTATCTCCCAAAGCCCAAGTAGGCATGTGATGGCTTTCTGTATTCTGAGCTCTTATCTGGCATCCAGGAAAAATCAGGTCACACACAGACTTGAAGGATGGATGTGGGTGTTTTATTCAGTGGGAGAGGTGACTCTCAACAGGATGGATGGGGAGCTGGAAGGGGGATGAGGTGGGAAAGTCATCTTCCCCTGGAGTTTGGCCATTCAGCAGCTGATCTCCTCTCTGACCATCCCCAACTGAACTCCTCTCAATGTTCAGATACTCCTCTTCTCTCCTTCTCTGTTACTCTTCTGTTCATCTGCTCATCTCCTTGTGGAGCCTGGGGTTTGGGGTTCATATGGGTACAGGATAGGGAGGCGTGGTGGGCCACAATGCAACTTTTGGGCATGAAAACAGAAATTCCTGTTCCCATTTAGGGCCACAAGTTTCCAGGCTTGAGGGTGAGGCCTTTGCCAGGGAGCTGCCCTTGTCTACCCAGTATTTCCCTGTCACCTGTTTATATCAACAGTAAGTCTTCTGCAAGGGTTTTGTTGTTTTAAAGGTATATTTCTACAGCAATTGTTTTTTTATCTAGTTTTTGATATTTTCGAGCATTTCCAAAATCTCCAAAAGAAATTAATTTTCATTTTCTTCATGGTTAAAAAAAAAATCTTTTGTTTTGGCAAAAGAGTATGATAGAAGGGTCTCAAAGTCAAACAACCCATTTGTTTAATTCCAGCAATACTAAAGATTGCAGATGTGTATTGGCTGAATAAAGTTATGTAATATGATGAATGCAGAACAGGACAAGAGAGAGCACCAGGCTGAAGGTGGGGTTCTTGGAAGCTAAGACAATATCTGTGGTTGATAAAAGTAAAGAGTAAGAGTTCCCTGGTTGTAAATAATCCATATTTGGCTGGAAAGCAGTTATCTATGGTCAGTAACTGCCACATGGTCTGGAATTCCGGGAATTAAGTAGCAAGAAAAAGTGCTATTTCTGGAGAAATGGATGATGGGACTCTGATCCCGGTGAGAAATATAGAGCCATGGCTTTCAATTCTGGCTGTACATTAGAATCATCTGGGAGTTGTTGTCTTTTTAATCATGCTATCAGGCCTTCAACCCAATAGACTCTGACTTAATTGGTCTAGGGTAGAGCCCATCACTCTATATATGAGTGTGTTGCTCTGTTTTGAAGTTTCTTAGGTGATTTTATTGTATAGCCAGCATTGAGAACCACTGGCCAATGTTAGTTGCAGCTCTTAAGAATCAACATGCTTTTTTTTCTCTTTCTAGAATTTGCTAGACAAATTCTAAAGGGGCTTTAACTCTGAGAATCAACATGCTTTACCTTCACAGCTAGGTTCATTTAACTGCGACAGTAGAGTCATTCTATTATCACCCAGGTTTATTCTGCTCACACACAGCAAGTCGATTACTAAGATAATGGGTTTTGCAAACAGAGAGTTTATTCAAGAGACAAGCCAGGAGGGAGAATAGGTCTCAAATCTGCCTCCCTAAAGATGTGGTTTAAGGACATTTGTTGGATTGAGGAGCAAAGTGGTCCAAGGCTGAAGAAAGCTTATTGGAGGAAAGAAAGGTGTTCAGTGATCTGTGCACATGTAGTCAAGCTTCATGATTCTTCATAGAATGCATGTTAAGAAAATGGTGGCTTTAGCACAATATGAGGGAGGAATTTTTGGCCGTCTGATGCCAAAGATCATCTTTGGGCACTTATGCAAGCCCATTTGAAGGGTGGGTGGTCTCAGCCAGCTAGAATTGGCCAAGAACTTCCCCCTACTTTCTGAAAAACAATTTTAAGCAACCATTACTATGAGTGGTTCCCAGTCAGAGATGTTATTCATAAGGAAGCTGGTGTGGGTTTATTTATATATTGTTTGGCTCTGTGACCTGCTAGTGGGAGTTTTAAGACCAACTAGAAGTAAATATTTAAAAGCAATTGTTAATCAAGTTTAGCCTAACACTGCCTCCTTACATATTTCGGTTTGGCCTAAGAGTTTTTTCT